CTAGGAAAACTGATAACAAGCTGCCTATAGAGTCGGTGCTGCCGGAGGCGGACCAAAAACCTCGGATTTGGTTGGCTGATTGCTCGGTCTTTTTCTATGAAAGTTTTGGAACCATGTCGAGCCCTTATAAAGGGGCTCTTACAATCAGCTCAGAGTGTCGCATCCTACTTGCTGCCATGCTTTAGAACCTATAATAGGGGATCCCTGTCAGGTACAATGCAAAGCCCTGAGTAATCCCACCCTCCGGGGTCTTAGCATTAGGACCCCTGTGATGTTCCTTCAGGGGTCTACATGAAGCCTGAACCACTTCTGTGCCCAAGGCTTGGGGGGAACGTCACTTCACATTTTCCGGGGCAGGAGAGTAAGCCGAAGCTGTGTAGAGATTAGCGATCGAGGGGTTCTGAAGTTCCTAGATAAGAGGCTTCTAGAGTCTTGAATCCGGTTTTGGTGGGCTGAGGTTTTGGAGTGTAGGGGGGCTGCATAGTTCTACAGGTCTGAGGCTTTGAAGTCCCCCGCAGGAACTGGGTGGGTTGCATCTCAGCCCTCATCCCTATTCCCTAAGCCCGCCCAATCCTAAAAACAGAAACCTGGAATGCCCGACGCCCCATAACAGGATCCTAAACCCCAAACCCCCAGCCCCAATCCATAGAGAGCGAGGAAACCGACATCGTACGCCCTAGAATACAATACACCACGGTACAGTGGCACAGTATAGTAAAGCCAAGCAGGGTACAGTACGGAACGGCACAATGCAGTACATCGTAGTACACATCGTATAGTATAGCACAGCATAGAACAGTAGAGTGCAGTATTACAGTATAGCAATACAGTGTATACAGCACAATCCGCTACACTAATATATTACAATAAGTACAATACAGTCTAGTATAGTATTGTATAGCATAGTATAGCAAGGTGTACTACGGTTTAGTAAAGTATAACACAGTACAGTACACTAAAGTGCAGCACAGTGCAGCGCAGTGCTGTAAATGATAGTGTAGGGTAGTGTAGTAGAGTCCCGAAAGCTCCATACGCCTCTGAAGACTTCGTGCTGCTGAGCTGCTGCTCTGCTTGCGAAGCGCCTTCCGGAATCGGAGGGCAGCCATGACCTTTGTGATTCCATTCAGGGCATGTTCGGGGTTGAGGGTTTAAGACTTGAGCCATTTAAGGGCTTAGGGAATTCGACTAGAATGCAAAGCTAAAAACCCAACAGCTTAAACTTTAGCGTGGCTGCTGTTGTGGTCGTTGCTGCTTCTTCTGTTCTTGTTCTTGTTCTTGCGCGGTTCTTGCTGTCAAAAGCCATCTCCAGCCTCCTCGTTCTTACCACAAAGACAGGCTTAGGGAACCCTAGTGAATCCGGGGTTTAGGGCCTTAAGGGCGGGGGTTCAGGATCTAAGGTTGAAGCAAGAGGGTGCTGTTGCCAGTTTGCATAGTCCCGCAGCGGCTTCAGTCGATTAATTATATAAGGGTGTTTCGATTTGGGGCCTCGGGGTGCACGTGCCCAAGTGGAACGATGCTTGCAAGGGAAACTCGGAGAGAAGTGTTTACGGGCCATCCTCGGCCCTCATCCTGTCTTGTCACTAGACTTCTTGGCTCCTGGCTCTGGGGACTGGGCAAACTGGCCCAAAACTCCCTGAATACTTTGTGGGCTCAGGGTCACCGTAACCTTTCAACCGGAAGCCCTGTGCAAACCTCACCCCATCTGGACTCGGATGAGGTGACCTCAACAAAGCACTGCACGAAGACAGAACCCTAATCCTGAAACCCAGTTGCCTAAGTAGGGATGTCAAACCTAGTTTTAGGCTAAGACCGGATCGAAAGAAAAAGGCCCTGCTCGCAACATCGCGGCGTAAACCTCGAAAGCTCTGAGAACATTTAGGGCTTCTGAATTTCCGGGCTTTATAGGGCTCAGGGTTATCATGAAGCTGCTGCGGCACTGTACCCATGTTGCTGCTGCCCGTTCCAGAACGTTCTGGAGAATCGCGACTCTCCTCTGGAATGCCTGAGCTAACTGGAAGCCTAAACTTGGCCTTTTAGGGGTTTTGCTTGGCCTAGGGTCACTAGTTTCAACGTCTTGCAGGTTAAGAGGTGAGGATTTCCGACGTTGGGTGTTTGGGGTTTGAGGGCGCAGTTTGCTTCACGCGCAGGTTTGAAGCAGACATGTTGAGATTCCGGACGCAGTGGCAAAAAAGAAAGCCTTATCCGAACATCCGGCCGAACACGTTTAGACAGAACCTCCGAGTCTTTAGGACTAACTCCGTAACCCAAGAAATGACAGACCCCGAACAGAAAAGACCCTTAGGGCTGAATTGGGAAAACCCTTTCTTGCCCTGTAAAAAGCCTGTTTCTGTAACTGGCACACGGCTGCTCACAATCATGACGATCTCACGATGACCTGTACTGCCGCCACTACCACTACAACTCCTCTTGCTGCTTCTCACTCTACAATTGCAAGGCTTTAAGGCCTGAGGGCTTGGGGTTGAGGGCTTAGGATTTTGGAGCAGCTATATTCAAGTATCGCTTTGGCTTTAGGGGCTTCAGGGATCAGGGCTCTTCGGTTTGAGAGTTTAGGGCCTTAGGGTTCACCCTGAACTCCTAAACCCTGAACCCCTAAACCCTAAACCCTAAACCGTTAAGCATCAGGAGAGCAGCTCCTGACGGGCGAGGACACAGGGCTGCTGTCTGCATCGTCCGGGTCGAAAGGCCGACCTCGCACAGACGAAATCTAAGGCCGCAAGTAGGGGCTTAGGGTTTAGGGTTTAGGGTTGGGTCTGAACTGTATGTTGTTAAGGCGCTAGAAATTGAAGCACAGCTGGAAAAGGCAAACATCAGTAAGACCAAGTTGAATCAACAAGCTATGGAACCATACTATTAACACTCACACTTTCTAGAAAGTCAATGCTTAACTTGACACGGTCACCAGCGGAGCCTCACCAATTTTTGCTGCTAACTCAAATTTCTAGCAATCCGTATACTGACCCTTCTAATAATCCTTCTGTGTTATGGAAGCTGCCGTGTTGCTCTCTGGGCCAGTCTCTGGAATCACGTGAGGCGGCTTGGCAATGACGATCAGCATGTCCTTTGCTTTGGGGCCGAGGGTCCTTCTTTGCAAGGTGGGGGGTCTTTGGGGGGATTTAGGGGGGGAGGAGTTTAGGGTTTACGGGTTTGGGCTTGCCGGAGTACTTTGTGTGTGGGGTCCCCGGAAACCTCTTGGCTCAAGGCCTACATTCGCTCGCGACTCGGCTCGGATCTTCCAACTCTGTGAACCATACCCTACTTCCCCCCCGCCTTCTGGATCTGCATGCGAGAACTCCACCATATGTACACAGGACTTATAGATCTTGCGTATCGCAGGACTCTTGTCGGACTGCGGTCTGAGTGAGAGGAATAATGAATGTACGTACCACCAGTCTACATGTCTAACCGACTACCCGCGCCAGAATCGGCCTGGAATCTGCAACTGCAAAGTCAAATGTGACACTCTGACACGGCGCCCTTCAAGCAAGTAGCCTGGAACCCTAAAGCATGAATCCTAAACCCGAAACCACAAACCCTACACCTAACTACTGAACTTTTTAGTTGTCGAGTTCGCATTCGAAGTTTAGGGTGCATCCGAGAGTCCTCAGACGTGAAGCCTGCAGTGGGCCAGCCCCGGTTTCGGAGTTTTGCGTTGAACAGCGCAGGTTTCGAGTTTAGAATTTAGGGGCCTTCAGATTTGAGACACTGGGGATTCATGACATGAATTGTAGATATCCAGGCAGAGGTGGTTGAGAACTTTCATCATATGTATACATCAGCACGTGAAGCACAGATCTGCTTCCGATCTCAGCTCAGTGTGAAGCAGTTCCAAAACAAACAGCCGCGAAACTTTCCTTTCTCACCAAATCGACGTATAAAAGCAGGAGTGCAGTACGTGGTCTCAAACCTCCACACCCTTAGTCCAAAACCCCCTTGGCCTTACAGCTCAAACCCTAAACTGATTCCATAAGAACACCCTGATGCTGATAGTAAGTCCAGAGGACTCATTAAGTTTTGGTTTGAGGCATACTCACAGCATCTTGGAAAGGTCACTAGAATAAGTACTTGTAGGGTTTAGGGTTTAGGACTTACCAAGTGCCATAGAGATTAGGGTTTCGGTCTTGCAACACCCGCCTGTCAGTTCGAAGAGTAACACAGACATCTCTCTGGAAAGCAAGCGAAATAGCGCACCCCGAATCTCCTGAGACTGCACAGAGACCGCAAGATCTTTTTTCAGAGGAGGATCTTTGATCAGGAACCCAAACAGTAGTGATGTACGTAGGTGTAGTGGTCGTCGTCGCAGTGGTGGTCGTGGTAGTGTAGTGGCAGTGGTAGTGGCGATACGGTTGTGGCTACGTGGTCATATCCCGGCGGGGCACGGCGCATCTCATCCCAATTGGGAGGGTTGAGCTGCCACAGCATCTGCCCTTCCTCAGTTGAAACTGATGGTTCAACGGAGCACAAACGCACGTCCTGTATCTGGGGCAGGGTCTCGTGAGTGGGGTTCCAGCAACGAGCGAACAATGCTCAATGGTCCTGCCTCATTCTAGTACGGTTTTTGCTCAGAATCCCGGACGTAAGGTTTGAACCTTAGGTTTGGGGCTTGCGATCTCCCTTCCGCAAAGCATCTGAGCATCATTAGCCGTCCCACGTAATGCACATCTACTGTACTGCATACATGAATTTGGATGAGACTGTGCATGCATGCGCGTGTATACATGTAGCCAACATGCACTCACATTTCTGCGCCTGCGGGTGATTTTTTAGACAAATACGTTTGCACCCTAGCATCAATCAAGTGCCGGACACGGATTTTCGAGCTCGGCGCGCAAAGGGCATCAGTTCACAGCTCCTAGACCCAGAATGCTAGACTCCAAATCAACGATCGCATCCTAAACCAGGAACAAAACCAAATCCCATAACATGAAACTATCTGACGAAACCCTAATGGCCCTAATCCCTAGAAGTCAGCTGGACCGAGCTCACATCATCTCATGCCCGCCTTCCACATAGTTGAGCTTGTTGAGGATGTCGCAATAGTTGGCAGCAATCCATAGGATTCCAAGCAGAAGTGTAAAGCCACAGCTGGCGCGATACCTTTCTCCCTAAACCGTGTTTCAGGGTCCAATCTCGTGGCCTTCAGGCCTTGACGGCTTGGGGTGTGTTGTTGAAGGTTGAAATGTCTGCTTCACTGAACAGAAACCTTAAGACTTCGTATATTATGCTTAATGATACGGTACAAAACTATACTAGGTTATATTTGTTATATTTGTTCATATGAAATTATTTTCGGTTGTACTATGTTACAATATATTATGATATATTGTATTACAGGAAAGTACATGCCGTTTTAGTGATCCTCCAAACAGAAAGCCGCAGGTTGGCACTCCAACGACTACCTAAAGTGTAGGGATGCCTCAGCTTCATCTTCTCAATCACCAGTGACAACGGACACCCCAAGCCCGAAAGCTTCCATTTCTACTCCCCTTACCTTTACTTGGCCTCGAAGCTCCAAGGCCCAAGAATTCCCCCAAACTTCGAACCCTATAACCCGAAAACTTTGCCATCGTTGGCCCATGAACGCTACACTCTTTGAGTGCGCACGGTTTAGGGTTCCTTGTCTGCTTAGTTTGTAGGTGAGGGTGCAGAGTTTAGGGTCCAGGGGTTTAGGGTCATTGCATTCTGCCAGCATTGTAGAGCAGTTCTTGACTACTCTGCTGATACGATCATTCCAATTCGTCTAGTGACGGTACCTCTGTTTTCACTATGATGATGAGTAATATTATTACTCCTGGCGCGACTGTCATTGCTGTCGCTGTTGTGATTTTACCTTCCATTACCGTAGTCACACGGAGTCTCTTACAATGGCTATGCTTTACTTTTATTCCAAACCCCGAAACTTTTGCCATCTTCAGTCTGCTCGCATGAAGACCGGGCTGATAGACTTTAGCAACTCGCTTCGCGTGAGCGCTGCCCAACCTTGTCGGCCGACAGGCTTTGGGAACATCGGCGAGAAGCACGAATCAAACGACACAAAAGTGCAGTAAGCATTCTGCTGCGATAGCGAGTATGAAGGAATCACCGCCCGCACTTGAGAGAACTTTCATGTAATTTCCATCTCCCAAGACTATGAATCGGGCTCTCAGCACCCCGTTTCTGAAATGTGACAGTGTCTCGCCTGGGCCCTAGTCCATTTCAAAACTTGTAGACGGTCCGGCAAACAGTATGAAAGCCAGAAGGGATCAATCCTGGATCGTCAAACCCAAACCTGAAGTCTAAGCCCACACCAACAATCTTAAGCTTCCCGCAGTCTCCAAACCCTAAACACTCTTCTCTAACCCTAAGCCCTGGACCCTAAGCCCTAAACCCTAAATCATGAACCAAGGAGCCTGCAGCCAAGAGAGCAGTGCCTAGGATGGAGACCAGGACTGTCACGAAGCCTCGGCTTCTTTAGAGACAGTCGGACTACGACTTAAAAACGTGCGGGTCTGAGGGTTAGGGCTTTAGGATCTAGGGGTTGGGATGTTGGGGCCTTTTTTTGGGGTGGTTTCTGGGTTCGGGACTTTGGGGGGGGTTTCTGAGCGCCTTATGGCTCAAGGGTTTAAGGGGGTAGGGGCTTACGGCCCCATGAGCCGACGTAACCCCAGGCTCTAGGCTTTTCTTGGGGGCTTCGGGGCGTTTCGGGTTTGTCTCGAATCCAAACGCCAGGCTTCAGACCCAACACTTCGAAGCCCAAGCAATAGACACTCGAACCCTCGACTCGAAACTCTAGGCCCATCAACCCTAACCCTAAAACTCATCAACCCTCAACCCAGACCCATCACCCCCGAAGCTTGCACTCCAAACCCCTCCTCAAGCCTAAACCCTACACTCGAAACCCTAAACCCCACAACCAATAAATCCAAAAAACCCAAATCCCTGGACCCTCCCATCCCCCGTCCTCTAACCCTAAACCCTAAACCTTAAGCCCTAAACCTTATAAAACTTAAACCTGAAGCCTAAACCCCAAGCTCATCAACGAGTTATGGAAGCCGCGGAGCAGAAGACCACGGTGTCCAATGCACCACGTCCTGCAAGATAGCTCCTCGGAGGCGGGAAACCTAAGCCCCCCCAACAACAAAACCCTTACACCCGAAGGCCTGGGGTTCAGTCGGCGGGTGTAGGGTTTTCAAGCTCACGTGCTTCCAATCACTTACTGCAAGGCGGTTTTACAGCAGGTTCCTGCGAGCCTAGTTTGGCAAGGATCCCAGAAGTAGAACCAACACCGTCGAGTCTACCATCGGGGTCTCGAGGATTTTGGTTTAAGGGGTTGTCCGTAACCCAGAATTAGACCCCTACACCAATCGCCCAAAGCGTACCAAGCCGGAACAGTTTTAACCTGATTCATAATATGCCGAGGCACAGCTGTACGAGGCCCATCGGGCAGCACATCCTGAGCTTACCGGGGGCGCCTCTGAACTACGACCCTGAAGGAATGAGACTTCTTTTGGAGGAATTACTGGGCTTATCCGCGTGTCGGGGACTGCTGCTGAAGATATTCAAAGGTAGCTCGATTTACGGGAAGCCCTCTATGCACCTGCTTGGGGCTCAAAACTGCGCAACCCGAGACCGTGTGCCTGCATGTCAGCACACCGGGGCATCTGGAGGAAGTTTTTGATCAAAATCGTGCGCGAGCTTTGGTTGGCTATTGACCCCAACAGCCGCACGAATACTTGCCACTTGTCATTGACACCACAACAATAAACCAAAAGCTCCAAACCCAGAGTTCTCAACCCCAAAATGATACGAGCGTGAACCTCCAGACCCCTCAACCTGAATCCGAAACCCACAGACGTTTGAGGGCACCTTCGAGCAACCCAACTCCAGAGCTCCTTGACAACCCAACATTTCAGGGTCTAGGTTTTGGGGTTCAGGGTTAGGGCCCCTTGAAAAAGAGAGATGCCCAAAACGACAGATGGATCCTGATCTTGCTTCAGGTTTGGGGCCTGCCAGCGCCCGGAACAACACAGAACCGCTTGACAGGAGGGTCTGAAGATTTAGGGGTCTGGGTTTAGGGGCTTAAGGTGGTCCAAAGTCTTATCTCCCTAAGCAGCTCCCAGCATTACTGGCAAAGGGCCCTTGCACGAAGCCCACGATAGCACCTTTGGTGTCCCTGCCCTTCACATCGTGAACATCTTCCACCTGGCGATGATCTGAATGCTCAGAGACTTCAGGAACTCCGTGACGGAACCATGAATGCTAGGATCCGTACTACCGATGAAGCAGAAAGGACCGCAAACGTAGCCCCCTATACAGTCTTCTGCAACCCGCATCTACAGGGAGTGGCAGGAGTCAGAACATCATGGGTCCCTTCTTGAGGGGTCCTTTTTCTGTGCTGAAGTTGCTATTACCAAGATATTACTCTTACACTTGGTTATCCGAAACCCCTCTATGATTCCAAGGCTTAATCAAAAGCATGCTGCACTCTGCAAGTTCATTCAGAAAGTTTGAACAAGCAAGCAGACTGGGTAAAGACAAGAGTAACAAAGCAAACAGCAGCAGAATCGTGGAACACAAGGAACACTTGGATTAAGTCGCAGAGACAGCAGCACCCTCCGTAGGGGAGCAGGGACATGGTTGTAAGGTTTTAACATTACTAGTAGCAGAATCACAAGAGAAAGCCACTCACGATCGCGCGCCGCAGGATGCACCCAGCTTGAAACCGGAAGTCTCTGATGACCTACACTCAAAACAATTTAATCCGAAACCCTACGGTGATATTCTTAACCCTAAATCCTGTACATGCCTCAAACACCAAACCCTAAATCCACAGCACAACAACTTTTCGACTCCCTAAGCTCCAAACCAAAGCAGTCCGGTCGGTTGGGCTGTAAGGCTTTAGGGCAACGAGCTCATGATTCAGGGCTTTGGGGGTTAAAGTGGAGGGTGGAGGGGGTTCAAATTACTGGAGCTTAAGGAGTGCAGTTTGAGGGTCAAGGATCTCACATCGCCTGGATGATCAGTGGCGTTTCCTCCGTGCAGTCGTCTTCTGCCTGAGGTGGTTTAGGTCTTGGAGGGGTTTTTAGTCATTCTAGTCGTCACAAAAACAAAAGGGTGAAACTTCTAAAGGGTTGACTTCTGCGCTGTCACACGGGTTCGTGAATTCGAGTTTGTGGGACTGCGGTTTTTGAGTTTGTAGGATTTGGAATTCAGGAATCGGGGGTCTCGGTGCTGAGAACCAGTGTCCCAGATTCAACTGAACAGAATGGGGACAGCCTGCATCAACATGTCCGGTTCTGACGCAGTCCTCTGTGTTTCTCCATGTTTTCGTATTCTTGTAGCATCTTGTAGCTATGTCTGCCGCGGCTCTGAAGCATGTGGGAAGCGAACTGCAACCTAGCCACATGGTGTGAGTCTGAGCAGCCATGGTGGTGGGCATGGGTGCCTGTTGCTGGGTGAGGTTGGGCGCACCCGCAGCCAGCGACCACGATGTTGCCGTCGGCATCAGCGACCAAATGTTGGCTCTCTTGCAAGAAGAAGTATGCAGCAACCAATATCAGTGAAGCGCCGATCACGTAATCCCCGTACTTCTCCCAGTTTGCCATGGGGATCACGTTTCCAAGCATGTACCTCTCGTGCTATCGGGAAGAAGACTGGTTACCCACATGTAGCACCTTTCGTGTCGAATAGGATATCATCAAAACCACGAAAAGTCAAAAGGATCCTTGTTGATCTGTATGAACAGCTCAATAAAACCGAACCGTACACTTTGAATCGAAAACTTCATCCCCCCCAATCCTTCATCGCCCAGCCACACCAAAAGTGCCACTCCCAAAATGCCAGCGCAGTGGCCCAATCCCCAAGCGGCTCCTACTTTCGCAGCAGCCCAGGGCGTCAGAAGTGTGCTGAAGGAGACCAGGGTGGCTATGTGATCTGGACCTATCAGACTCGCGTGGCTTCCGGCATTTTGGAGTTTATAGGGCTTCTGGATTAGGGCTTAGGTTTGAGCATTTTAGGGCTAAGGGTTTAGAGCTAGGGTTCAGCAGTTTAGGGCGTATGAAACTCTGAAGGAGTGTGCAAAGCTGCTACCCCGAACGATCAATAGCTGCCTTTCCAGTAACCCTTATAAGAGCTCTTATAGCAAGAGTTCAGGAACCCTCTTGCTGGCCAGACAAGGGGCCGACGGCGTGGAGGATTCCGCAGAATACTCCCATGCCACATGCATTGAGTGTGCTGGCCTTCAGCACTGGCAGGGAGGCCGAAGACATCAGCAGCGAAAGTCTTCCAACCATTTGCGTAACTAAGGTGTCTGCCGATGGCAGAGGCAGAGTGATCTAGTAGAACATGGCTCGTGTCGACAGGCCCGAGACAAAATGGCTTACGGAATTCCGATCCGCGTGATTTGCCCATCGACCAAGCCCTCCGGCCTAAACCCCAACAAATACCTATGTAAAAGCCTCAAGTTAAAGCAAAGCAAAATAATCGCTTCGTAATCCCAGGGGTCCTACATGAAGACACACTTCCAAACACTTCCTAAGGAGACCACCGAAACCGCCTACTATAGTGGTCTGCATGTAGCATTCCCGCATAGTCCGTGCATATATAATCTATCTAAGCTATACCCCCCCCCGTCCCCGCCAAGCCTATTTCGACATATTCAAAGCCCTTCGTAGATTAATGTAAGGGCCTGAATAATTAGAAGAGGGTTTTGGGGTGCATTATACTATAACTATAATATGGAAGCCCCAAGCTAGTACAGCTAATGAGTACTACACCCTCTGGATCGGTTGCCCGGTGTCCAACTCCTTCTTCTCAAGCTCCTCTGCGGACCTGCGGTCGAGGGAAACATGCTCGAAGCTCCTTGCGTATACTGGAAGTCTACGTATCTAAGCTTTAGGATTTAGGCCCTCGAGGGATAAAGAATGAACATAGGGGGTTCGGGGAGCTTCTACCGAGGATAGCTAGACCTTGGGGGTTTATTCTGGGTGATTCTTGGGGCTCAGGCCCGCCATAGCAGAACTATGAGAACCTTACAGCTGCCGACCTTCCTAGGAACCATAGAGGCAGGGTCGGCACATAAGGCACCAACAGTACCCCAAGGAATGCTTGAATGTCTCAACGACTGGGTTGAGACGAACAACGTGGTCAACAAATAGCATTTTTGTTGATTCAGAGCGACAGAATGAGATTCATTGTGATGCAGTTATGTAAACAACCCCGGAGTTTCTACGTTCAGGCCGTGCTCATTTGGACAACAAGGTAAGGTCCGAATGGTCATCATTCCTCATATCTACCTTAAGGAGTATTTCAGTGAAATCTGAAACTCGAGCAGTATTAACACCACGAGTGTTTTGGTGGACTTAGCTGCCAAGTAGGTAAGACACCCTGACAGCCCTGAAGCAAATGTCCAACTTTGGAGCACTCAGTTGCGGACTCAGCATTACCGTCTGCACGTGGTCCCCATGACAACTTCATGTAAGAAAAGACCACCCCGACCTTAAATAGCAAAGCTTCTTGAACAAGACCTACCAGACTCCTATAAGACCCTGTGAAAACTCTTTCACAGTCTAAACTTGTCTAAACCCTAAACCCAACATAAACCATAAACTTTCTAAACCGCAATCTACTCCACAACTCCCTAAAGCTTTGCAACTTATGTTTCGAAACGTCCTGCAAGCATTTAACACTCGACACATTCCTACAAGGCATGCACACATAAGACCCTCATAGAGCCCGCCGAAGACTCGGACCAACACCACGATTTCAAACCAACAGTATCTCTGGTCCAAATTCCCCAAACCCAGAACCCGTAAGGTCCTACATTTCGGGCCCAGGTCTCCGCTGAACAAAGATGTTGGTTGGGTTTCGGTTTAGGGGTTTACAGGGGTTTATAGGGTTTAGGGAGTTTAGGGTTTAGGGAGTTTAGGGTATAGGGTTGAGGGCTTAAGGCTTCCAGCAGGCCTTGACCAGCCGATTGCGACTTCACCTGCGTTGGAAACCTGGGAAGGTGGTATATGATGTAGGGATCTGACGAAGTTGAAAAGGAATTTGCCTAATGCGATGGTCTACCTATAAAAAGGCACCCTAACGCAGAACATGTGTAAGTTTTTAGTCTTCTGCAGTATAATATATCTCTTTTGTCTTAGGCAGGGTTGTGGGTTTCTCTGTTGAACAGCTTCTCGTCTCTTGTTCACGGGCCTATCGGGCTTGTTGAAACAGCTGGCCTTTTAGATAGGGTTCCGTTTTATTTAGATAAACTTGGGGGTTTGGCCAGTTTAGTCTATGGCTTACTCTATACATGTTGATAGCGGCATTGAGTTAAGTAAATGGCGGAGATTTTTGAAACATTCTGTTGTGACATCGTCTAGGCTTGTTCGCTGGACTTGTGATCTTGTTCAGATGCCGACAAAACCGAGGCAAATGAACTCTCGCCCGGCTGCAGACACTCACCTCATCAAGCCACGACATCCCCTTCCACTGAGCACGGGACCGCTGCCAACACTTCGTTGAAGTTGATCTGCTTGCCCTGCCAATGGCTGCAGATCTAAGTCACATGTTGAGCGTAACAGTGTATTCCTTCTTGTCAAGTTCAAGGGGTGGCAGAAAAGGCGAAAACAAACCCTAAACCCCGTGATGGCATCAAAACAACAAGTGGAAGTCGGGTTTAGGGGAAGAATCGGCCGCAGTTCTGCAAACGATGCCTCGTCCCTGGCAGGCAGTTCGAAAGCACGGTCAGGACGGTTCTCATGGTCGCGCACCAGGTTGCCGAAAATGGACGACTTGGGCAATTCCGTATGTTGTGAAGGGCCCAGTGACAGACGTGCCTCAGGGCCGTGCGCAAGTGGCAGCCCTGCTGCAGCAATCTAAGTCAACCACTGGCTGGTCATCATCGTCATCTGACGCCGGGATGCCAGGGACAAAGTCTATGGTGCTGGTACTGGTAGTGAAGAATGGTGACGCGGGAAAGGCCACTCACCAGCTGACATCTCAGCCCTAACGCCAAAACATTCCTAAAACCCAAGCTTAACCGCGCCAAAACCCTAAAGCCTAACCTATGCGCCAAAGTCCTACATCCTACACATTTCCCAACCCTAACCCCTCAAAGCCCTTAGCCTGTGGTGAGAAGGCCTCGAAGACTCATCACTGTCCACCCCAAGTCCATGCCAAAGGAACGTCCGTTTCATCTTCAAAGCCCTGAATCCGAAATCCTTGGGCGTTAGTCACGACGTCCTGCAACCAATCCCGCAATCCAAGAATCCTGCTGCGAAATCCTTCGAACAGAACCCACTCACATCACACCACAAGCATGGAAGGTCTTAGGGCTAACGAGGGCTTAGAGTTCTGCAGAGTATGGGGTTTAGGGCGGCTGAGGGCTTCGGGCTGCGATAGCCTTTGGAGTTCTTCTTGGTGTATAGTGTTATGGTTTAGGGCGAAGGCTCCGGGGGTTGGGCTTAGTGGCATAGAGACTGCCACCGGCCCTGTGCATGGCAGTATCTAAGCTTTTAGGGTTTCGTGGGTTTTGCGAGTATGAATTATAAGGCTCTTAAAGGTGCGGTCATAATGACAAGAACCTGCTTTCTTGTTACACGCCATAGTATAGAATTTCTAGAAACCCTGCAACGAAGTAGGTCCCGGTAGGTTGAAGGTAACGCTTCGAAGATGCAGGGGCTTAGGCCACTCAGGAGCCTGCTGAAGAAACGGAACGAGACAACTGTCACCTTCCCGACGCAATAGGGTTTAGGGTCTAGGACTGGAGCCTAAGGTCTGAAAGGGTCGGCGTCGCAAAGCCTAAACCCTACTTCCAAGAATCCAAAAGCCGGGAGGACTGCAATGTCGGCCAGTATAGAAGCCAGAACCATGTCTCAAGGTATCCCTTCCCCACCCCGTGGAATCTGCTAACGGAGCGCTTACAAGCCCTGCTCTAAGCATTGAGGCCTCTGTCTTTGGGGGCTTTGTCGTGGCAGGCCTCGTAGTCATCCTCATCGCCCAGGTCGAAGACATAGTCCGCGAGGTGTCGAATGCAAATCCTTCGTGGCTTGTTTTTGCGCTTGCAGGCTATGTAGAGTTTGTCAGGGCCGTTTGCATGTGGTTTGTTAGAGGCCCTCATATGGATTGTTATAGTTATAGGGCTTCTTAACCTATCATGGAAAAAACTTGTTAAACCGGTGTTCTAAGGCTCTCACAGGGTCCAAAAAGCACCCAGAGCCCCAGGGTTGGAGTCAAGGGTCCACAGAAGCCCCGGACCAGAGACTAAGAGCCCCAAACAACCCCCGAAAAATGATAACTCAAGAGTTCTGGTAAGGTCAGCCTGATTAAACCAATCACAGCTATGTGGGTTGGGCACACTTAGCTCGTCGAAACCTCAGCTCCAAGCCCTTGACCCCAAAGCCTAAGCAATTTAGTGTTGAAGAGTCCCCACTGGGGGCCTCTGAGGGGTTTCGTCTATAGAAGGGCTCGAAGGATTCGATGTAGCATGGTTGTGCGAAATTGACTTTTTCAGCTTGGAACAAGGAGTCATTGCTTCGTCCCCTACTATCTCTACGTGAGTTGTGGCTTAAGGTCTAGAGCGTTCAGCTTTCGGGTTTAAGGCTGAGCGTTTGGCCTGTGTTGTCAATGAGCTTGGTGTGTGTTCTAGCGACTTCACTGTGAGCTCCATGTAATTAGAACTTTTGCAAAATCGGGGGGCTGAACCCAACAACCTGAGACATAGATGTACACCCCCGCTACAAAGCTCGTAAGAATGCCAACGAATGGCTTCTCGTCCCATAGATGATACCTGGAAAGGCAGGGCTCAGATTGAGTGTCATTCTCAAAATCCACTAAAAAAAGAGTCAAGTAAAGCTGGTCAAAGCTCTAGAATTTCAGAATCAAAACAAACTCACCTTCTGGGGCCTGGGGTGAAGGCGGAACCCGAGCATCCGCCACTTCCGATATAGGTAGCTGGAGATTTCCGCGCTGAGACAGATGAGCGGTCCTTGCTGTGTCGCCGAGGAGTAGCTCTGCGAAAAGGGTGCAGATCTCAGGACCTCGCGATTTGTGGTTAGGGTTTACGGTGCAAGGCTTGGGGCTTTCTGTGGCTTAGGGACACAGGAACGGAGGGTTTTGGCAACGATGTGGCAATACGATAGAAGTCTTTTCCCATGTGCAGATCCGTACATCCTAAACCGTCTACACACAACCTAAACACCTAACCCTTCAAGAGCACCTGAAAACCTACACTCCAAAGGTTGCTTTTAGACTTCGTGGCTGCTGTTCAGGGGCCTTTTGCTTCCGGCTTTTCCGATATCGCGTT